GCGTCGCAGGCGTCGATGTCGGCGAAACAGCAGGATCGAGCGCTGGGGCGAGACTGACTCCGGACCACCACTCGGAGCACCTATTTTACCCACGTGGGTTCCTGGAACATTCGGCGAAAAACGTTCGGCGCGTAGAACATTCGTAACTGGATCAGACGACAAGGTTCTCGAACTTCCCAAAATGTCAAGTTGAAAGAACAAATGAAAAAGGAATCTGCTCCCTGGCATCGAACCCGGAGCCTTCGCGCGAAGGCCTCGCTCGGCAACGCGCGTGGCAAGATCACTGATACATGTTACAAAACATTTCTGGGACAACAAAAAAGAGGTCGCCTTAGCTATTGGGGAGGAGATCAGACCGTTGCGCCCCAAGCGCTTAACTTTAGAACTACATAGATGAGGACAACAAATACAATAGATAGTTTTAGTAGATCGTTCCGATACCTCCGATAGCCTCGATAACGATACTATGCATGCGCAAGGGAGGCGGTGGCGGAGTATCGGGTATCGTTATCGGAGTCATCGGAACGATCTACTAAAACTCTCTATTGTCTCAGCGCTCGGCTGATTTAAGGGAGATTCAACCGCTCGTCACTCAACGGGCAAATTTCGCTACACAAACCTGAGTATCAGAAATGCACTATAGTATTCATTCTTTTGGAGGGGGGGGGGGGGGGGGCAAATTTTTGTTCAGAGGAATAAACGAAACTCAAACTAGCTTCGATCTATCCGAGTCAAAAGCAGTCCGATACATAAGGTAGCAGTAGCACACGACTACCAAACCGTAACTTGTCGTTCGATTTAAAACGTGTTCTATTTCTCTTTTGGGGGAAGTGCTCGTGTGACCGGGAGGGAGGCGGGTGTGTGTGTGTGTGTGTGGCCGGGGGCGGGGGGGGGGGGGGGGGGAGGCGAGGGAGCCGCTAGCCGCATTTAAACACGCGGAGAGCCGCATGCTCTCCGCGTGTTAACACTCGCTCGCGAGTGGCAGATTGGCCACCCCTGGCCTAGAAAAGAGTCTGCCTCAACGGGCGACTTGTCTCCCAGCTGTAGATGAGAAATCTAGCCAGAGCAGTACAACCGCTAGCCTGGGGTCTTTAACGTGCATCACGCAGTAGTGTTATGCACGACCGCAGGCCGGCATGATGCTCATCCAGATCGAAACGGGCAGGGGTGGGGATTGAACCCAGGATTCCCAGGTTCTGCAGCGCGAACTTTCGCTCCACGTGCTCCGAGCTGGTGTGCTCCCACTCGGCCACCGATCCTTTTAGAGCGCAGCTCTTAGGGGCCCGATACCGGCTTGAGCGGCGTCGGCGTCGCCGTCGGCGTCAGCGTAACCAAGGTCACCCCAAGATCACGCGGCCCCCAAGGTCATCCCAAGGTCACGTGACCCCCCAAGGTCACCCTAAGGTCTCGTGACCCCCAGAGGTTACGTGACCCCCAGAGGTCACGTGACCTCGGGTTTTAGGTCACGCGACCTCGAGGGTCACGTGTCTTTGGGTGTCAAGTGACCTTGGGGTCACGTGACCCCCCCGAAGTCACGTGACACCCCCGAGGTCACGTGACCCCCCGCCGAGGTCACGTGACCTCCCCGATGACGTCATCGTCACTGATGACGTCACCGGCATCCGCATCATCATCGTCATCATTACTGATAACGTCATCAGTTACGTCAGTGATGACCTCACTGGCATCCGCATCGTCATTGTCATCATCACTGATGACGTCATCAGTGACGTCACTGATGACGTCACCGGCATCCGCATCGTCATCATCACGGATGACGTCATCAGTGACGGCACTAATGACGTCACCGCCATCCGCATTGTCATCGTCATCATCACGGATGACGTCATCAGTGACGACACTAATGACGTCACCGACATCCGCATCGTCATTGTCATCATCGCTGATGACGTCATCGGAGTCCGCATCACCATCGTCACTGTTGACGTCATCAGTGACGTCACTGATGACATCATCGGCATCGTCACGTGAACCCCCATGGTCACGTGACCCCCCCAGGTCACTTCACCCCCCCCCCCCCAGTACCCTTCCCTCCTCCTCCTCAAGAGCTGCGCTCTAATTCGGTGTTACAGGGAGTTGCAAACGGCTTTCACTTTTTTTCTTTTCTTTATTACACTTGGCCACCGTACCCTTTTAGAGCGCAGCTCTTAGGGGCCCGTTTCCGGCTTGAGCGGCGTCGCCGTCGCCGTCGCCGTCGCCGTCGCCGTCGGCGTAACCGCGCGGTGCATCATGGGAAATGTCCCATAATGCACCGCGCGAGCCCCCCACCGGGGTCACGTGACCTCGTGGGGGGTCACGCGACCCCCCGAAGTCACGTGACTCCCCTGAGGTCACGTGACCCCCTCCTCGAGGTCACGTGACCCCCCGAGGTCAAGTGACCCCCGCCGATGTCGCGTGACCCCCGATGACGTCATCGTCACTGATGACGTCACCGGCATCCACATCGTCATCGTCATCATCACTGATGACGTCATCGGCATCCACATCGTCATCGTCATCATCCCTGATGTCGTCATCGGCATCCACATCGTCATCGTCATCATCACTGATGACGTCACCGGTATCCGCATCGTCATCGTCATCATCACTGATGACGTCACCGGCATTCATATTGTCATCGTCATCATCACTGATGACGTCATCGGCATCCACATCGTCATCATCACTGATGACGTCACCGGCATCCACATCGTCATCGTCATCATCACTGATGACGTCACCAGCATCCACATCGTCATCGTCATCATCACTGATGACGTCACCGGCATCCACATCGTCATCGTCATCATCACTGATGACGTCACCGGCATCCGCATCGTCATTGTCATCATCACTGATGACGTTACCGACATCCGCATCGTCATCGTCATCGTCATCATCACTGATGACGTCATCAGTGACGTCACTGATGTCGTCACCGGCATCGGCATCGTCATCGTCATCATCACTGATGACGTCATCAGCGACGTCACTGATGACGTCACCGACAATCGCATCGTCATCGTCATCATCACTGGTGAAGTCATCAGTGACGTCACTAATGACGTCATCGGTACCCGCATCGTCATCGTCACTGATGACGTCATCAGTGACGTCAATGATGACATCATCGGCATTGGGGGTCACGTGACCCCCCCCTGGTTAGTTTAACCCCCCCCCCCCCCCAGTGCCCTTCCCTCCTCCTCCTCAGGAGCTGCGCTCCAATTCGGCGTTACAGGGAGTTGTAAGCGGCTTTCATTTTTTATCTGTTCGAACTAAAGCCCTTCGGAATTTTCCCATTTTTCTTGCAAGTGGCGTGGTCAAATGCGCCAGTGCACGAGGCCCGTGTCTCCAGCGGCCCTTGGAAGCAGTTGTCGGTGCAGTACTGAAATGAGCGGCCCTTCGAAGCAAAGGGCAGTGGAGCACTCGCTCCTCGCACGTGCCTTGCGCGTTTCGACAACAATGGTTGGCAAAAACTTGTAAGCGTGCATTTTATCAAATGAATTTAGTCTGCACTTGCCGGCAGCGCCATCAACTTATGGAATTTACGAGGATAACTCGAGTGCAACATGGGTTTGTGTATTTGGGTGGTTCTTTTTCGCTCACAGGCAAACAGACAGAAAGTGTCCTTTCTTGCCATACCCGTTGCCAATTTTGTCAGCTGCTGTGCACATGGTGTGCGATTGTGGACGAGTAGTAGAGCCGCGCCACTTGCTTGGACAGAGAACGTTTTGGTACAGTTCACGGGTGGGAAACGGTTCCTTCTTGTTGCTTTTGACTCTACGCGCAGAAGTGTGGACCTCGTCGACGAGGTCCGCACTTCTAGACGTGCAGAAGTGTGGCCCTCGCCACGCAGAAGTGAAGACCTCGCCACTAAATGATCTATGCTTAGGGTCGACACTGTGTTCCCCAATACTGCTGTGGGCGCCGCCATCTTGATGCTTGTAAAGAGCAGACGCAATGCCGATCGTCATGATTCAAAAGTGCGACTTCCTCGGCATTTGTTTGGGTGTTACGAAGCTCATGTAATATTTCTTTGCTCTGTCAGGAAGCGTTTAAACATTTGTGGAAGACGTAAAAGCGTTTCCTGTGATTTGAAATAAATTTTCAGATAACTGGCAGCCGTGATTTTAAGCCACAATATGGACAAGTGTCGTTAACCAGAAGCGTAGCTTATTTCGTGGCACTAGGGAAGATCATGGCGGAACAGCGCAGCAGTGAGCTAGATTTCAAACGCCATGCTCTTCTATAGTGCCACAATAAGTTACGCTTGAAAGCAACGACACTTGTTCATATAGTGGCTTAAAATCATGGTTGCCAGTTATCTGAAGGTTTATCCAAAATCACAGGAAACGCTTTTCCGTCATCCACAAATATTTAAACACTTCGCGACAGAGCAAAGCAATATTATATCAGCCTCCTAACAACGAATCTAATGCTGAGGAAGCCGCATTTTTGAATCATGACGATCGGCAGTTGCGTTTACTCTGCACAAGCACCAAAATGTCGGCGCCAACAACAATGGTGGGGAACAAAGTGCCGATACTCTAAGCACAGCTCATTTAGTGGCTCTAGTTCATCCCAGAAAAGGCGCGCGGCACGTATCTCGAGCATTTCCAGAAAAATGATGGGCGCCACTTTTTCCAGGATAAATGGGCTTTACTCCACACATCCTGGGAGCGGGTTAGCAAACCAGTACTCAGACGAAGAGCAGGCCGATATAGGATATAGGAAGTGCAAATCTGCCACTTTATTTCTTTTTTCTTTCTAGCTTTGAATTAAGCTGTAAAAATGAACGGTCTTTTTTTTTTTTTTTTTTTTTTTTTTTGAAACACAACGCTTGCGTGCGAAATGTTTTGGTCCTAACGGCCGCAACGCCGCGCCCTGTGTTTTCGATAATTTCGAACGTGGTAGGAACTTTGAATCCATTCGGAAATTAGAGATTATTCTACGTTTTGTAAGTCGCTTGCATCGAGGGGTATGATGACTGGCTTGAGGTTCTACTCTGGGACATCACATCCTCGAAACTTCGCCTCCATTTTTTTCACAAGCTCTTCACAGTCATGCCAATGGACAGCTGTTACGTTGTCCACTACTTCCCTCAAGAGCCGATCGGCGTCATTGGGCTTGAATGTGATGTTCTTGGGGGCGACCTCCTGCTTGACTCGTGCCCATGTCAACTCTATGGGATTTAGTTCGCAATGGTACGGTGGGAGCCTCAACACTGTGTGTCCGGCGTCCGTAGCCATGACGTCAACTTTGTACTTTGTGTAGCGATCCTTCACCGGTGCCACAATGCTCAGAAGGTCTTTTTTCTTCTTTGTGGCAGTCCAGTCTAGGTTCTTGGAAGAGAGCCACTGCGGGATCTCGCCCTTCTTTGTTGCAGTTGTGGGAACAGCTTCAGCCTTTCTGCTGTGGTATGGCGCGTTGTCTATAACAATTACGCCGTTAGACTCGATGTGGTCCAGCAGATGAATAAACCATGCTTCAACCCTGCTCGAGTCCATTTCATCGTGGTAGTCCCCCTTCTTTTTCCCACGGAACAAGTCCAGGCAACCGGACACGAAGCCAGTGTCACTACCTTCGTGGGTGACAATCACTCTTTCTCCTTTTCCAGAAGGAACCTTTAGCCCAGTCGTCAGTCCAGACATGAAGGCTTGCCTTGCTGACTTTATGGTGCTGTCAGTCCACACCTTGTCAACTGTGAGGCCGGCGTTCACCCAAGTCTCGTCCTAGAAGTAGATCTTGCGGTTCTGGGCTCTGTGCTTTCTGGTTACCCTTGTGGCGGACAAAGAGTCCAACAGACGACAGCACTCAACACCCAACGCCGACCGGCACCCGCGCACCTTGGCGCGAAGAAAAAGAGGATCGGGGAGAAGCACGCGCAACCAGCTCCCGGGTAAAACACAGCTCATCGTTCCAAGCAAGACTATGGTTCAGACAACCAAACTAGCCGTGGATAAAAGACAGTTATTGTAGCTCAGTCGTCAATGGAATTATTACGTGCTACAAACTGGTGACCCGGACATCGAACCCCTACCTGCTAGTTAGTTGTGCTAACCTACAACTGCTGAAATGACGGACCCAAGACTACACACCGATGCCTCCACCGGTGAACCTTCCTTGCTGGCTGCGAACATCGGAAGCCCAAACTTCAAGCTTCCCGCCTTTTGGAATGGCGACGCAGAACTCTAATTTCTACACGTCGAGGCCTTATTTCGGTCACACCGGATTGCATCGCAAAAGTCCCGGTTCGACTTCGTAATAGCTGCGCTACCTCAAGCTACTGCCGCGATAGTTCGCGACATTCTACGTGCACCACCAGACAACTCATATGATCGCCTTAAAGAAGAACTTATTCACCGCACCACGGAATCCGAACAACGCCGCCTACAACAACTCTTGACGACAGAAGAGTTAGGAGACCGAAAACCAACAGACCTCTTACGACGAATGCACCAACTGCTTGGTGACCAGCCTGACACAGTCGAGGCATCAATTTTCAGAGAACTTTTCCTTCAACGGCTCCCAAACAACGTCCGTATGATCCTGTCCGCCTCAGAAATAACATCTACCGAGGCCTTAGCTCGCATGGCAGACAGGATCATAGAGGTCAATACGCCTACCATCTCGACTCTTGGTACAACCAGACCATCATCACCTCCGAGCAAGGATTGTATAGAGAAACTCAACGCCGTCGTCTCACAACTTTCAGATAAGGTGGACCAACTTAACACCGAAGTGTCCTCTCTTCGGCTGGCTGAGCCACGATCAATAAGCAACGATCAGAGATCACCGAATTGGCGACCTCAAACGGGACGACCCCGGACAAGTAGAACACCCGCCGGGGAACCTAATTGACACTGCTGGTACCACCAAAAATTTGGAGAGCAAGCCCGCCGCTGCATTCCTCCCTGCGCTTACCAGGGAAACTTCCGAACCGCGCATTAAAGACGGCAAATGCAGTGGTACCTGATATCAGCCGTCTTTTCTTTATTACGGAAAAAAACACGAAAATGTATTTCTTAATCGACACTGGAGCGGAGATCAGTGTAATTCCTCCAAGTGCAGAGGACCGCCGACACCGCCAAAGCTGCCCGTCACTTCAGGCGGCAAATGGTTCCTCCATCGCAACATTCGGAGAAAGATCGCTCCCACTCGATATTGACCTCCACCGCACCTTTCGTTGGGTGTTTCTAGTCGCTGAGGTAACTCGTCCCATTTGTGGTCGGTTTGCCTTGCTGCATACCCGACCCGGAGGAATAACACGGAGCCAACGGTTTCAACAACAAGAAACTACATTTAATTGGACATGGACAAGAAGATTAACATTGCTACCGGCGCTGCCGGAGTCCAGGCAGCGACTCCCCGTGCGCCGCCTCTGATCTGCCTTATCAAGGCGGCGCATCCGATGTGCGCGTGGCTGGCGTGACGTCGCCGCCACGCGGGAAAAGTTCGGCTTGAGCTTCGCAGTCGGGCAACTTGGCTTGGGAGCCGCCAGGGTGCCCACACTTCCCCCCCCTCAAGCTTCGTCCGGCATGTCGATGACGGAGACGTTGTGGGCGTCAGGCGGTGGATGGCGCTGTTGGGCGGACTGACGTTGTAAGTCCGGCCGGCGCCTGCTGGACGAGTGCGGCGGCTGCTGACGAGCGCGGCGGCTGCTGACGAGCGCGGCGGCTGCTGACGAGCGCGGCGGCTCGGTCAGCTCCAGCTTGTCGCTTGTTCGGGATCAGGGCTCCACCAGGTGGCTGCTTTACCCGTGGTCCTGTAGAGGGTGGCCGCGGTCCACGATGAGACCGGCCGCCGTGTCGTTCAGATGGCGGGTGTGGCGACGGTTTTGTCCATGAGTCAGCTTCGTAGAAAACATGGAAGCAGACGACATGGGACTCAGTTGAGGGCTGAGCCTGACGTTATTTTCGGACCCCTTCCAGAAAGTTTGAAATAACGGATCTGAGGTGGGCACACAATCTTCTCCCCCCTCTCTTGAAAAAAGGGCAGATCCGTGGAAGTAGAAAACTACCCCCAAAATGCGAAAGAGGCCAAGGAGACAAAAAAAAAAGTTCCTCTCTCTTTGGTGTCACCGACGTCGCAGGTTATACCGCCGCCTTGGTGGAGACAAGGGGGTTTCCGGAACGGGACTGCCGTCAGTGTCGTTCCGGTCCTGCGAGGAATCTTCGTCTTCTGCTTGAAAAAATCGTTTAAGGTCGGTGACATGAACAGGTCCGGTTTCCTCTCTAGACTCACAGTTAACTAGTTTGTAAGTGAGTGGCGAGCACTTTTCACGCACGCGAAACGGACCTTCCCACCTGTTGGCGAGGGAGGCTGCGAAGCCTCGAGCGGCGTCACTCAGTGGGTGAGTACGCCGGAGTACAAAATCTCCCACCTCGAACTGCAAGTCACGTCGCCCCCGGTTGTACTGTTCAGCCTGCTGTACCCGGGCGACGTCGAGATTTTCTCTGGCCTCTCGAAGGTTATCGGAGAAGCGCTTTCGCAGGTCCTCTGCGAACTTCACGTAGGGGCGAGGCCTTCCTCCAGACTCTGTAGAAAGGAGGCTGTTAGAAAGCGGGAATGCGAGCTCCTTGCCGAAATTTAATTGGGCAGGAGTGAGACCCGTTGACCGATTAGTGGTTGTACGGGTCGCGAATGCCAGCTCGGGCAGTTTCGCGTCCCAGTCCTTGTGGCGCTCTGTGTAGGCCACTAGCATCATCTTAAGGTTTCGATTTACCCTTTCCGTGATGTTTGCTTGCGGGTGGTACGGGGAAGTTCTTTTGTGTTTGATTCCCAGTACCGCGCATGCGTCCACAAACACCTTACTCGTGAAATAGGAGGCATTATCGCTTACAAGCTGTGCAGGAAAGCCAAACCTAGCGAATGTTTCGAGTAGACACTCCCAGATTTTTTGCGAATCTAGCTTCCGCAATGGAAATAACTCAACCCACTTCGTGAAGTGGTCGGTTACCACGAACAAGTACTGATTGCCCCGGGTACTACGTGGGAAGGGGCCCATGACGTCACAGCAACAAATCTGCCAAGGGCTCTGACTCGCGATTGGTTGCATGAGACCGGGGGGCTGGCCACCACGTGGTTTTGCCTTCTGGCACACCGAGCAGCTACGAGCATATCGGAGCACATCCTGCCTCATGCCTGGCCAGGTAGCAATTTGGGATAACTTTTCGTAAGTCTTGCTCCCACTGCTGTGTCCTGCCAAGGCAGAGTCATGCATGTATCGGATGAAAAGCTTACGTAGCTTGCGGGGTATCACGGTCCGGTTGTTGTCCCAGCCGGTATCCACCACCAGAAAAGTCGAGTGTCATGCTTTCGCCTGTAATGAAATCTCGGCCCAAGATCACAGGTACCACAAGTCCTGGCATATAAAGAAATCGCTGACGTCGCTTCTTTCCATTAAACCGAATCTGCAGCCTCACGGCTCCTCCAGCTGTTATCGCTGTACCAGAAGCTAGCTGCAAACGGGTTTCGCACTCCCGGAGGCTTATCTTTTTTGCTTTGCAGAGTTCGAAAACGAAATCCCCTATGAGCGAGATAGCGGCCCCAGAATCCAAAAGTGCGGCAATGGGAAAATCGAGCAGTGATATTGTCATGCGCGGTTCAATGACATTAGGCTCGGGCTGGATTCGACATACCGATGGAATCTGTGCAACGGCCTCACTGCTCCCAGGGACTGCAACGGCCGTCGGCGAGTGGCTGTCTGGTTTCAGCGTCGCCGGCCGTAGTAGTTTCCCTGGTTCTGGTTCCGGCCCTTTGCCGCCGTCTCGTGCCACCTCTTGTTTGTAGTGTCCGGAAGTCTTGGACACTGGTTTCGGTGATGGCCGGGCTGCTCGCACTCGTAGCAGCAGTCCGACGACAGTTGCCTGCTTAGGCCACCGGCACCGAGGTGCCCGTCGGACCGCCTCCAGTGATCGGATAAGGAACCACTATGGGAGGGCCTCCACCAGGCTTGCGACTGGCTGTTGTGGGGAGGGCTTGTTCCGTTGCGGCGGGGGTCAATGCTGCTGGGCTGCGGGTTTGCGACCGCACCGTGCCAGTTTTCGCCAGCACTTGCAGGAGCAGACTGATGAAGATGGTTCGCTTGGGTGGTGATCTCCGTTGGGCCCCAGCTTGCGATAGGGCACGGCCAACGACCTCCCACCTGTCGTGGCGACCCCCGCCCGAAACCCTCACGGGCCTCGCTGTGACCTCCGGGGACCTCTCGGGGAGAGTTAGGCGAACATACGCTTATCCCGCACGGGAGTTCACCATGCATGCCACGCCAACTCTCCTGGTTGACGTGGTGGGGAAGGGAGGTCTCGGTCGGACAGTCCACTTGCGTGGAGGCCTCGGGGCCCCGCCATGCGCATGCCGGTTCGAGCGCGTACTTGGCTGGTGGCGGCGGCACGTAGTTCCGCTCGGCATGAAGAGCTTCCTCGATGAGGCGGGCGCCCCGGGCTAGCTCTTCAAGGGTCTCAAAGGTGCGGTTGATCAGGTAGACGTGGTACCTTGGGTGACACTGTCTTCTGACCCGAGCTACTCTGTCCGACTCCGGTGACTTCGGGTCCGCCCTCTTGAAGAGCTCTTGCATGACCCGAACGTACCGGACCAGACTTTCATCCGGGTGCTGCGTCCTTGCCTCGAGCTCTCGGAGAATCTGCGTCGC